GGAGGGAGGGAGAGAGAGAGAGGGGGAAGGAGGGAGGGAAGGAGAGGGGGAAGGAGGGAGGGAGGGAGGGAGGGAGGGAGGGAGGGAGGGAGAGAGAAAGAAGGAGAGAGAGGGAGAGAGGTAGATGGATAGAGAGAGAGGATGAGAAAAAAACGAGAGAATGAGGGAGAGAGGGAGATAGATAGATAGAGAGGATGAGAATAAAAAGAGACAAATAAATAAACGAGAGAATGAGGGAGAGAAAGGGAGGAGTAGAGAGAAAAAGAGGAATGACAGACCTGGACCTGAAAGAAAAAAAGAAAGAGAAAAGAAAAAAAAGGAACAAGAGAGAAACAGAACGAAAGAAAGTAAGAGCAAGAGTACGAAGCAAGGAAAGAAAAACGAAACACAAACATTTCGTCCCAAGACCCAATCGCCGAAGCACCGGCTCCCACGTCTCCCTCAAGCGAAATAAAAGCAGCTGAGGCCGTCCGTGCCAGGAGCAGTTCCAGACGGCCTCGCGGGTTCCTCGTAAGGAAGCGGCCGCTTCTCGGTAGCACACGCGGATCCTTACCCCCCCTCCCCACACACTACCCATCCACCTCCCGGGGTCTCTTCCAACTTCGTCCGGTTTCACTACCCTCCGCTCCCTACACCCCCTACCCACAGCCCGCCCGGCTCCTGCCACCCACTCCCTCTCTCTCCTCCCCTTCTCCAACCAACACTCCTTTCCCTCCTCCCGCCCACACCCCCTCCCGTCCCCCCTCCTTCCACCGATCTCCTCTCCCTCCTTCTCCCACCGACTCCGTCTCCCGTCTCTCCCCCTCCTCTCCACTACCGACTGCCCCCTTCGAATCCTCCAAATGCCACCCAATCCCTAGCTCCGCCCACAATCCCCCCCTCATCCCCCCTCTCCCCCCTCTCCGCGTCTCCACCTGAAGGGCCCCTGTAATAGGCTGGACAAGGCTGAATGCACAATCTCAAAAGTGACCTTGTTGCGTTGACGGATGTAGTCAATAAAAGAAGAAATAATGTTTGCAACAGTAACAATTTCAATTGCAATGGTAGTAATATCAGTTGTGGTGTAAGTAGTTGTAGTAGTAGTAGTAGTAGTAACAGTGACATAGTAATAGTAATACTAGTAGTAATAGTAGTAGTAGTAGTAGTAGTATTAGTAGTAGTAGTCGTTGTACAAAATGAATACCATCAATATCAAAAGTTCAACTTTCCAGTTCTTGCACACACAAAAAGAAAAATATTGAAGGAAAACAATATACCAACATGATAACCCTCACATAGTCAAAGATCAAGGGAAACGCAGACCCCTTTCCCCGCTTCGCCACGCTCTACAAACATGTCAAATTCAAAGAGCTAATCCTCGTCTTTTTCTCCCTCCTCGACTTCCGGTGGCACGGCGAGAGAATGCCCGAGGAATGCGATCCCATCACACCCGACTGGAATACGTGAATGAATGAAAGACCGACAGCGTGTATGAATGGGGCCCACGACTCGATTTCTACTACCGAGTCTTTCACCGAGAATTTCTGGGAATCGCTCTCCAGACCAGGTGTTCGCGTAACTCGACAAGTGTCATAGAATGTATGAATGAAAGCCCAGAATTCCACTAACTTTCCCATATCATGTGTAATTTTGAAGGAGATGTAAGATCAAAAACGGGCATTGCACTTTCTGCATTATACCTTTGTTCCGCATCTTTGTCCTAGCAGTGCACAAGGCAGTCTCTCAGCCAGAAACTCCCCATGCTTTACTTCCTTACACTACGTACTACGAGCATTTACTACCCACACCTACTATCAGCGTTTAATATCGGCATTGACTACTAATCCATTCTACCAGCATTTACTACCAACACTTACTACTAGCATTAACTAACTATTGCTTCCAGGATTTCCAAGCAACACTACTACCAGCAATTACCACCAACATTTTCTACCGACACTAACAGCTAAGACTTCATACTAGCATTTACTCCAAACATTTACTAGCAATACTTACTACCAGCAACAATACTTACAACCAACATTCACAACCAGCATTACCATCAATTACTACAAACACTCACCACCAGCATGTATAGAATGTAAACTTAATACCAGCATTAACTACTAAAACTTATCCCCAACATTAACAACCCTGCATGACTCGCCTTCAAGGTTCATCCTCGTCATATTCAAAACAAAAATCTCGGTCTTCAAAATAAACCGGGCAACGAGATAGCGAAATCCGTTGTGTCTATCAGGGTATGCCTGTCTATCTGTCAATTTCTCTGAGACTCTTCACATATCTAACACATAAATACAACGTAACCACAGACACAGACACAAACACACACAGACACGCTTACGTCAACATATCCAATAAATATACACGAAGAGGATCGTCAAAATATGCATAAACATAGACACACAAACAAAAATGCACTCACTCACTTTGTCTGTCTGTCTGCCTGCCTGTCTCTCACACACACACACACACACACACACACACACACACACACACACACACACACACACATACCTGCACCATACTGTCACGGTATAACATGATACCGGTGGGTCATTGCTGCAGCTGCTTCTGGTGTGGTATTCATAGTTTTGTGGTGATAATACTTTCGATCTTCTTTTTTAATCACATGAAGATTTTTCTTGTAACACACTCCTACTGAGAGGGGGGAGATGGAGGGGGGGGGGGGGGAGGGGGGGGAGGAGGGGAGGAGGGAGGGAGGAGGGAGGGAGGAGGAGGGAGGGAGGGAGGGAGGGAGGGAGGGAGGGAGGGAGGGAGGGAGGGAGGGAGGGAGGGAGGGAGAGAGAGAGAGAGAGAGGGGGAGTGAAAGAGAGAGAGAGAGGGAGTGAAAGAGAGAGAGAGAGGGAGTGAGAGAGAGAGAGAGAGAGAGAGAGAGGGAGTGAAAGAGAGAGAGAGAGAGAGAGAGAGAGAGAGAGAGAGAGAGAGAGAGAGAGAGAGAGAGAGAGAGGGGGGGAGTGAAAGAGAGAGAGAGAGGGAGTGAGAGAGAGAGAGAAAGGGAGTGAAAGAGAGAGAGAGAGGGAGTGAAAGAGAGAGAGAGAGAGAGAGAGAGAGAGAGAGAGAGAGAGAGAGAGAGAGAGAGAGAGAGAGAGAGAGAGAGAGAGAGAGAGAGAGAGAGAGAGATTTGACTTTGATTTCATAAAATTTATTTACAGAACAGTGTGCCTGCTCTGCAAAAAGCCAGGGTAAAATGCCAAGGCATCTATCCAAAGTGGCTGTGCTTTTATTTATACAGAGGGTTATCAGGCAAACATTAGTTTTACATGCCTGAAGGGCTCTGTCATGTTATATTATTAATCATATCACAGACAAGCCCAGTGTCTGTAATAAAATTGATATAATCAATAAGAATTATTCTCTGGATAGTGGTATTTGATCGATAGGATGCAATTTTCGTGCAACAAAGTAAGGAACAGGTGATACAAAATTGGCTTTGCCTCCAAAACTGCATCCTGTACACAATGCATAATATACTAACATCCATTATAAACTTAGGGTTTGCCCATACTTTCATAAGGAAAAGCGGTGCCCTGTGCACATTTCTTCAGCTTTTCAGCGGTCCATATCTGGCACTCACAATCTTTCTCCTTTCAATCATTAAGAAGCTAATGGTGCTGTATAAAATGGTCCTCCGCGGCCTTCTCTTATCCCCGGCCATCGATCCGATCTGCCCCTTCCTTCATCGGCGCTCCTTCCTCGACGCCTCTCCCGCCCTCACGCTCCACCTATCCTTCAGAGCCCACGCCGCCCGCGCTATCCTTCCTATTAGATGTTCGGCTCATTTTCTGTCGTCTATCCTTTACATCAACTAATTTCCAGTTGAGGGAGGGAGAGAGAGAGAGAGAGAGAGAGAGAGAATAGAAAGTAAGCAAGCAAACACAACCGAAAGAATAAAGAACATAAAAAGCCCGAGAGCGAATGCCGGCGACATGCCATGCAACTCCAAAAGGAACAAGGACCTTCTGTGCTTCCTCCAGCCGGCCCATGCACGAAGGTCACTGATTGCATGACAAAAGAAGCACTGCAGACTGTCTCATGTGAAGGCACGGCGGGTCAAGCATGCAAACACGTGAATATTGAAGAAGGCAGCAGCAAAGGGTTCGGAATCATTCTTCGAGAATTTAACGTCTCAATTAGTGTTAAATCAACCGGGGAACTGTAAATAAACACAGAGATCTCGGATAATATTGACGGAGCTGGTTCGACCGATCAAAACAACACACGAGAGAATCTGCTTTTGCTTCATATCTCCTTCGAAACTTCTGTTCGTATACGTAAGCGTGGATATCATGGAAGAAAACGTTACGAAAATTAACGCTCCGACGAAAAATGATATAGACAAATCCACAGATACAAAAACAAACAGACGAAAGAGCAACGGCATCTGTAAACACTTCTCTTGGCATTTCATCTTGAAAACTGTTTTTTAAGCCGGAAATACATTCAAGACAACACGGTATTCACTCTGTCGCATGCGAGGCTGTCATAATTCACTTAGCCAATACATAGCAACAATGGGCATTTGAAGCACAGCGACAGCATTCGCTATTGCTCTTAACGCTCCACAATTGCCCTGGAGTGTGACGTCACAGCTCCTTCCTTCCTCTTTCATCTCGGCAAACAGAAAACGAGCGCCGTGAGCCACAGGAAATTCCAGGAACCTCGGCGGTGACTCACTCCGCGAGCCTCGAAAGTGAGCGGGAAAAGTAGCTCGTTTTCGTCCGATTTCATCACTCAAGAGAGGCCGGGTCGGTTACTCGGACCGATTAGAAATCCAATTAACATTCATTTCATAGCATATCCCGTTTCTCCTGGCAATCAAATAGTCTGCCTTAAGATCATCTTGAAATTAAATTACAAAATACGCACCAAAATGTATAGAAAAAGAATATGAAATATTGTTGTGAGCGAAACTTTCCGGCGTTACGTTTGGCCGGAGCAGGGAGCAAGCGAGGGCAGGGAGGCGCGTAGGGCGGTCCCCACAGCCCATCAGTCCACCATCGGACGTGATACTGTAAGGACGTGTGGGTGCAAGTGCTGGGCGCGGGAACCTCGTGAGTGACTGGCGATAAACTTTGTGGAAAAAACCTGGACCTGGCGTTAATGATATAATCCTTTAGCCAAAACAAAAGAAAAAAAAAACTTACAAGCACGGATCTTACAACTCCATTAGTGATCATTTAATGGCAAACTTGCATACGACGAACAGCAGAGACACCGAGCAGCGCCCCCAGGAGAGCCCTCAGCCACGGACAGGTCTATTAGGTGATGACCAACCGCTTCATCCCGCCGTAACCAGCCCCGCACGCGCCCCGCCTCACCGCACGCGCCGCACACCAGCACAAAGTGACCGTAAGAGTGCCAGAAAAGGTGTGCACCAACCGTGAAGTACAAAGCGCAGTACAAGTAGGCCTACAACAAAACTGAGTGAAGATGAGGGTCAGCAACAGCATCCAATTTACATTAGTCGGTGAGTATGCAGTGGCATGACCAATAAAATTAACGTCGCTTCACACTTGTTTTCTACTAGTTTTTTCAATGTTGTTTCTAGGCAGCAGTGGTTACCACGGAACTATCATTAAGGTATTCAAGTGATATCTTTCATGCTTGTAAAAAAACGGGTGATGATGGAACAACGATGATACATCTAATAAGGAAAGGTGTTCTGTACTGCATTGATAACACTATTATCATGATGATGGTTAACATTATCATCATCAGGATTTCGAAATCGATAAACCACAAAATAACCCATAAAACAACGACTGCAAGCAACATCGCAAGAAAGAGAGATCATAAGGAAATATGATATCACAAGACCGTAGATTACGACAGGATGATGCAAATTCTAGAACAGCTGCGAGAGCCACATACCATGAGGTCAGGCTTGCAGGTGGCACAATCCACATGCCATGAGGTCAGTCTCACAGTTATGTAGCGCGCGGGGCGGGCGGGGAGGCCGCGGAGGGAGAGAAAACGCTTGACCTATGACCCTGACGAGAGCCGGTGTGACGTCATGACACCCACGCGACCGAACCGCTGCGACCCCGAGGCGATTCAAGGACACACTCGAGACAGGGGCAGGAGGGCCTTGGGGCGGGCGGTGACAGCCCAGGGAAGAGAGAGGGAGGGAGGGAGGGAGGGAGGGAGGGAGAGGGAGAGAGAGAGAGAGAGAGGG